GACTCTTGAATGTTGTCCTGTAGCATCTGGGACACTCTGGGCAGCGCCTGCTGCATCCTGATGGCAGTCCAGCGGGTGAATCCTACTTCATTCTCTGGTCACAGACTGAACTGTTTAATCAGGATATAATCATCCTCTGTCAGATTATCATGCTCACTAACCTGTGTTTCTCTCCGGCAGAGGTTCCAGTCTTAGACGGCAAAGCCGCTGCTACTGCAGATCCGTGGTCCATGTTTTAAATAAACATTTTTTGAGTAGTCCCACCGTCTGTCTTGCCTCGAATACTGGGTCCTCTGATTTGAGCCATGTCAGAAATGGCTTGTTTTGTGTCTTGTTGGTTTGCTCTGGTTAGCTATTGTTAGCTGGTAAGCTTTTAGTTGCCCTGACAATAGCAGCCTCTGATCTACAACTCACCACTTTGCTCAATACACATCTCAATGCTGTCATATCAAATACATTGTGCTCATGGATAATTGTTCATTTATAGGATTTAATGAAATTTGATTGATTTGAATGTTACCAAAAACTCCAGCTGCTTATCTGTTATATTATATGAGACATAGACTTTTCATCTGTGCTGCTAATCTGATGGACCGTTTTTCAGTGCATCACAACAGCTGAGCTAATTGATTGAATTTTAACAGAGACTCTAAATTGAGGACTCATTGATTTCCTTTTATGTTTACTGATTATTTTATGTATCCTATATTTATTTAACATGTTTGTAGTGCTCACATAATTTATAATAAAAAAAAAAAATACTGTTGTAGGGATTATTTGGTTTAATAAAATCTCACCCAATTTCAATTGAGATTGTTTGTGTTTATCTTATAGCAGTCTCTCTAAGAGCTGAATCAACTTCCATGAGTTAACAACTTGAACAGAGAGAGACATATTTTTTGTGTGTGCAGAAAATGATTAATAACTCTGCTTGAATTGTAAACCAAGTTATTAACATTTATTGATGGATAAGACAACTTGGATTTTATCAGCCAGTCCAAAAGCCTGGCCACAAAAAGGTAAGCAAGTTATCACCTGGTAAATGGGCAAATTGACAGCTGTAAACACTTGAACCACATTCAGATTATTGCTTAGCCTTGACTGGCAGGATTCATTAATTATCTGTAACTGTAACCTTGGTTACAGTTAAAAATAAATTCAAAGTCAAACCAATAAAAGTAACTCAGTTAAATGTTTGCCAGCCCCCTTCACCACAACGTAACATTTCTCAACCCTATTCCTGCTCTCAAATATAACTTAAAGCAGGTGGTAACCAACAACTTCTTAAGGTAAAAGCTGATTGGTTGCTGCCTCTCTTCACTGACATGTGCTTAATACATTACAACTCCGACCTCACACAGTCACTGTGACTAAGAGAAGAAATGGAGCAGAATAAGCTGGGCCGAGAAACCTTCTCCTGTTTAATCTGAATGAATATATTAAAGGATCCAGTAACTATTCCCTGTGGACAAAGCTACTGTATGAGCTGCATTGAACTGCACTGGAAAAAAGAGGATCAGAAAGGAAACCACAGCTGTCCTCAGTGCAAGAAAACCTTTATACCGAGGCCTGATCTGGAGAAGAACACCATGCTAGCAGCTTTAGTGGAGCAGCTGAAGAAGACTGGACTCCAAGCTGCTCCTGCTGATCAATGCTATGCTGGACCTGAAGATGTGGCCTGTGATTTCTGCACTGGAAGAAAACTGAAAGCCATCAAGATCTGTTTAGTCTGTCTGGCCTCTTATTGTGAGAAACACCTGCAGCCTCATTATGATGTGGCTCCACTGAAGAAACACAAACTAATGGAGCCTTCAAAGAACCTCCAGGAGAACATCTGCTCTCAACATGATGAGGTGATGAAGATATTCTGCCGTACTGATCAGAAGTGTATCTGTAGTCTCTGTTTATTGGACGAACATAAAGACCATGACACAGTGTCAGTTGCAGCAGAAAGGACTGAGAGGCAGAGAGAGCTGGAGGAGAGACAAGGAAGAATCCAGCAGAGAATCCAGGACAGA